CATTAAAATTAAACGATTCCATAATAAATCATTATTATTATTAATTAAATTTAATTAATTTTTTTATTCAATTAATTTAATTTAATTTAATTGCTCTTTTATGTTCACGATGATTAATCTACTGATTTTGTCTTCTAATACTTTTTCCTCTTTTCTTTTTAATTTTTAATTTTTAAGTTTCTTTACTAAAAGAAACTTGAAGCATCGCAACAAGATAGTTTATTTCATATTAGGTTTTATTTATTTATCTTTTATAATAAATAGAGAATTATTTTTGATACTCTTTACGAGGTGCTCATCTTTATCAGTCCAATGTGTATAAGGGATGTTGAATTGACATTAAACGTGATTACCTTCAACTTTACATTTATCATTGTGAGTGAAAGTAAAAATAAACGGTTCACAAGATACATCAAAAAGTTAAATTAAAATTATAAGTTGAAGTATCTTGATCAGTTATTTTTATACTCTAAAATAGAACTATATATACCACTAAAGAATAAACGGTTCACTATTGTAGTTGTAGCTCTTGTTGGTAAATACATTTTAACAGTACTTTTTCATCAAAAGATTTTTGTATAAAACTAAAATAAGAGACATTTCAGGCTTATTGATCTTTCAAGAATATTTTAAACTTATTGATCTTTCAAAGATGGATAAAATTAACCTATAATATAAAAAACCAAAATTTAAGGTTGGTAAATAGTTTGTAACCGTTACCGCACATATAATAATTATATATGCAATATTAATGTGACATTATCTTATATATCACTAATAATTCATTAATTTTTATTGTATGATATGGTTGACACATAAAAATTAATACTATTATATATATAAAGCTGACAACACAATTTTAATTTTTAACCGATATGATTATGAATGTATCAACATCAAATTAATTATATAAAATAATATAATTTATCACCTTATTATACAATTAATGTTGGTGGTGTTACCATATCACCAACCCTATCAATTAGGGATCACAAATTTGTAAATTTGTACATCTAATATAACTCTTACATACTTATCTCTTTTTCGGCTTTGTCCATTATTCTACACTCTACAAGTGCATCTTTACGTTCATGTATTGACATAGTTGTACAATAACAAAACCCTTTTTTTTTTTTTTTTTTTTAAATCAAATTACGATCATCAAAAATAATTATTTTAAGAAAAAATTACTACGTGATTAACATTTTATCGAATGAATATACAAAATTATAAAATTTTATTAAACAGGTTTACATAATCATATAATTTTATCGGACGAACGTACAGATAATCATGTAAAGGCACCCACAAAGTTTAAAATGATTTTAAAGGGTGTTAATGGTAAAATTAATAATTTTAGTAAGGGTTCAAGAAAGTTTTGAATGACACGAACATGAAATGCATTTTATGTTATTCTAATAAAATTCCATCATGGAAAATATATTTCGAGGAGAAAGTCTTAAGGAGAAGACGAACATTGTCCAACTCATGAGAGAAAGTCTTTTATGTATACAATTAATTAATCATCAGACGCGTGCAAATTATGATATTGATAGGTTTTTTTGAATTGATTGACGCTATTATTATTCGTTAGATGTGCAAATAACTTGCATGTAAATATTTTGTTCTCCTTTTATAAGACATTTTTTTAGTGTATATCAACTATATGATACACCTGTTTCACTTAAATTTTTTGTAAGAAAGTAAAAAATGTGAGGGATATTTTCGTAATAAAGTGTGATTCTTTGTCCACTTTGGTAGAGGAAATTTCGAGGAATGAGCTGTTACAACTTAGGGGGCATTTGGTTATGATCCTAAGAAGATTAAGTCGGTAATCTTATCTTTTAGCATTATCTTGTTTGGCTAAAAAGGGAATAAAAGATTACAATAATATTTTATTACGAAGTAATATTCAACAAGTATATAGAGAGTAATATGATTACTGACTTAGATGGTTTAGATGGTGGTATTTTAATATTACCTAGTAATCCTAATTTTGTTCTAATTTTGCTTTGGAACACAAATACCCTCCAAAGAGTGTATATATATATAAGTAAAGGTGGACAGGTTCGAGTATCTGTCTAATTTCAAAGGAATCGAAATCGGCCGGCTCCTAGCATTTGAAACCGGGTACCCAAAATCATTACTAACCCCCCCACTATTTAAAAAAATGCCAAAGATACCTGTAAACCCCCAAAATTAAAATTACATATAATTGTTTTCTCTCTCCTCCCTCGTTTTTTCCTCTTATTCTCCTCAGGGAATCTCCAACCCACGCCAAAATGGCGCAAAAAACACCAAATTGGCGTGGGTTGGTACTCCAACCCACGCCAAACACTGCACCATTTTGGCGCAGTGCTACAGTGTTGCGTCAAATTTGGCGCAGCACTGTAGCGAATAAAATATATATATATTTTTTGAAATTTTGCTTTTTTTTGTTTTTTGATTTAATTTTGTTAAGTTAATTTGAGTATTAAATTTTACACCAAAAATCACACCAAATTTGAGTATTTGTATTTAATTTAATTTGATTATTATTTATAATAATAAATTTATAATAATGATATAATTTAAAAAATGATGAAAAATTAAAAATAGAACTTTATTCAATGCAAATATTAAATTACAATAACTCAAAATAAAAATTAACACTAATTTAAAAACACTAAAATTAAAAAAAAAAAAAAAAAAAAAAAAAAATAACAATTTAGTATTCCGGTAGATTAGTTCCGGATAAGATCATCAAAATATTGAAAAGAACTAGAGTTATTACAATAAAAGAAATAGATTAATTGTTATTTAATATTGAAAAGAACTAGAGTCATCAAAATAATAATTATTTAATAAAAATATCATTCCTAATATTTAATTAATATATACAAAAATAATGAGTGAAATAAATTAATTGTTGATTATTATAATAAAAAAAAAGAATATTTTAAAGAATATTCTAAGAAATATTTTTTTTGGTGTAATATTTGGTGTGATGGATTGGAGATGGAATAGTGTTTTGCACCAAAATTTACACTAATTTGGTGTAATTTTGCACCAAATTGGTGCAATGGGTTGGAGATGGTCTCATCAGCTCTTCTCTCACTTGGACTCTACCACATGATCTGCACCACTCGCAAGTTTGATTTTGGAACCTTGGTAGGATGCAATCTGAAGCTGCAAATTAATGGAGTTCTCAAGTGGAGTGTGGAGAGAATGAGAACAGTACCACTCTTATAGAAAGACCTTAAAAGTAGATAGAAGGAGCTACCCATTAACTAAAGGAAAAGTGTCTTCCAAATAGATGATAATTATAATCGTTGGGCTCACTAGCAAGAAAAAGCGAAACACATACTCCTCAAGTCAGTACTCAATAGTAACTGCAGCCATTTACTGAGCAAAACCAAGAATTACAACATGTGATTAATAAGTGGCGGTGAAGCCATTAACTCAGTCTCTTTTTACATAACTTTTCTTACGTGTAAGTAATCAATTGGTCAGTAAAAGATAAGGGTTATCTAAAAATCTGCTATATTTACTATTTACTGACACGAAGTTGTTGTAGATAATAGACATGGAGGTATAATCAAATCAGTTGTTAGAAATTCAAGAAAATTATTTGTTTTTCAAAATTTACCAAAATTTTATTTTTCTTTTTAATTTCTTGACTATTAATTAGCATTCATATTTAATTTTTTAATGAATTGCTTTAATTTACAAAAGCGTCTTTACCATCTTTGTCCAAACACGTACCATCCCTTACCCTTACCTCACCACCACCACCGTCTCAAACACCTCCAATGCTTCCTCCTCATTCTCTGTCTCCTCAAACACCTAGATCGGTCGGCCGGCTCCCCCGCTCCTCACTTTGCGCCCCAAAATTGAAATTACATATAATACTTCTTTTCTCAGGTTGTATGGTTGATGGTTTGGATGTATTTGGGTGCATCTGTTTGCAAATTGATTTTGCTGGTTTGAATGTATTTGGGTGTATTTGTCGGCAGGTTGATATTGCAGGTTGTATGCTCGATTTTATTTTTTTTCTTTTTGATTTGGTTTGTGATTAAGAGATCTGGATTTTTGGTACTGTGACTCTGTGAGTGTGAGTGTGAGTTTGGGACGTTTGATTTCATTTTCAGTCAATCTTTCATGCTTGGTCCCGGTGGCGCTTTCTTTTCTATTTCTTCTTCTTCTCTTTTTCCGGTTTCGGTTCTCGTATCCTACATGGTAAAACCGGAATCGAAACTGTACAGTATCAGTTCAGGTTCCAAAAACCGGAACCGACCTATATCTGTCGGTGCGGGTAGAAACCGGAACCAAAGCCCGCGTATCCGTCTGTTTTGGTTCTCCTATTTTTTTTTTTTTTTTTACACGTAATCGCAAGTAAAATAATATGTAAATATTCTGTAATTTGTGTTAATGAAATAAATTAATTATTTATACAGACACACTAACTAAACATGATAATAATTTATACCCATTAATCTTTTTTTTTTTATTTTAATAATTAAACATTATCAAAACCAAAAGTCTCCTTAATGTTTCTACGCCCAGTCATTTTTTCTCCTTTTTCTAATTTAAATATAATTTTTTCAATACCGACAAAGATTTATTATTTTTTATATTTATTTACTATTTTCATAAAATCGTATAACATATATTTTATGTACCAAATTATTTTTGGTTTCTTCAACTAATTTCAACCAAAAAAATATTAAATTTGACAGTGAAAATGTTTTTTTTTTCCCTTATTTTCAGAAATACTCATAAATTAATCGATGTTAGTGAACTTAAATTACAATTAAAAAAGTAAAATAAAATGTATTTATTTATTAGTTTAACTCAAGATTTTTGTTTCATCAATTAATTCAAACAATTTATTGCAAGCACACATAAAGGACAATTTATTTATTTAGTTAAATTAATTGAGCTTAAATTCTTAAAAATTAAACAAAAAAAATGTCAACATAAAGNTAAACAAAAACAATTACAATTTTATTAATTGTTGTCAACTGACAAACCGATTTTTCTTTTTAAACCGTCTCTCAAAATCTATGCACACCCACAGAAAAAAATTTAGATACATCAACCAAAAAAAAAAAAAAGAAAAAGACCAATTGACCCTCGATCACCGTGCTAAACAATTCCAAATACCGTACCGACCTTTCCAACCAAAATACTTATTTTAAGGGTGATTTCGTCAGTCGAACGAGAGGTTGGGATAACGTGAGCAACGCCTAAACAGATAAACCTTACACCCGTCCTTGGGACTAATCGTCGGATTGTACACTATCTCATCGCAACCGTCGGTTCTGAGTCTTTTGAAATCAATCAACGTGGCAAACATCGCGATGAAAAGCACCAAATGATTCAACGCATACCTCTGGCCCACACATTGATGAGCCCCGGCTCCGAACACCAAAAAGTTCCTCTTATATACCTGATCCTCCCGTCTCTCCTCACTGAACCGGTCTGGGTCGAACCGGTCCGGTTCAGTAAATCCCTGGAAGGAAGATTCATATACGGAAGGGAAAACAATTGTCCCCTTCGGGATGGTGTACGAATCAGTCAACGGGAAGTCTTTGACAGCAATGTGTGGAACCAATGTGGCCGGTGCTCTATACCTTAGAACCTCACGCGCCACAGCTTGCGTGTACTTCATCTCTCTCACCTGATCGGCCGTTATCATTTCGTCCGATTCAGGTGACCAAAAGTTAAGAACTTCATTACGAACTTTGCTTAAGACTTCGGGGTGCGAGTCGAGAAGTGAAACGGCCCACAAAAGTGACGAAGTTGACGCGTCTTGAGCCGCGAAGAGGAAGTCAAAGAGGTGGCCGGCGATTTCGTGGTCTCCGGAGTGCGGTGGCGGTGGTTTACCGGCGGCCTTTGCGGCGGCCAGCTCTTTGATGTGTTCTTGCATCCAAAAATCAATCAAACACGATGGCTCTTCGCCTTTTGCCATTCTTGCTTTGCTCTGTCGAGTACACACAGTCAAAGTGTCCACTAATCGCTGAACCGCCAGCCTGGCGTTTCGAAACGCGAAACCCGGAAGATCCACGGGGAATTTCATCGTTCCGACGTTGAAAAGGTTGTAATCGTAGTTGAATTTGCGTCTGGCTTCTTCATTCAAATAAGGTCCGACGATAACCGTTTGAGACGTCTCAAGATTCATATCACGAACAAGTAGACGGAGAGTGATGAGCTTCTGCGACACATCCGAGTTCGATAATTTAACCCATTTTTTCAAGTGTTTAAGAATAATAATCTGCTGCAACGAGGTGTAGGTAGAGAGAGCTCTAACGGTGAAATTAGGAGCAATACGACCACGTAGATCTTTATGGTCTTGTCCAAACATATAGATCAGATTATGTTCACCAAAGAGTTTTTTTCCAAAGGGATGACCCACCAACATGAAAGCGTCAGGACGGACATTTGAGAAAATACGATGAGACAGTTCAGTGTTACGAATGAAGACCATGAAGTTACCAATAAGATAATTGGCAGAGAAGCCAAGAGGTTTGGAAATAACAGCTTGCTCTTCCCAGAATTTGGTAGGATTACGAACCAATGGGATAGCGTTACCAATAAAAGGCAACACAAACACAGGCCCTGGAGCGCGGCCTTTCTTAATCCAGTAAGTAATCTGATGAATCAAAAATAAAAGGGCAAGGAAGGAGGAGAAGTATTGGGTTAGGGTTCGAGTAGTGAGAGAAGATAAGAGTAAGAGAAAATCCATGTTAACGTTATCGTGAGGGCGAGAGAGAGAGAGAGAGAGAGAAAGAGAGAAGAGGAGTGTGGCTTGTGGTTAGGTAAGTTGAAGAGAAATATATATAGGGGTTGCAGAGAAATATTAATGGTGGCATGTCCGAAGAGGACCAACTGCAATTGGTCAAAATGAGAGGGGAATTTTTTACGATAACATCAATCAATATGTATATAAAATATATAATATAATTGACATTTAAACGGCCTTTAGTTAAAATCTGGTATAGAGTGCAGTCATAAACCATAATATTTTCTGAGCCGCTTCTGGTTGGAATAATGAGGAAATAATCAAAATCGACGCCTAAATATGTCGGGTCTGTTTTCAAGAATTTTAAAACTTTTGACTTAGAAGTCAGAAAACAACCACCACACAACACATATTAGCAAACGAAACAAAGACCCAATACGGCGCCGGTCGGTGGAAAATAGGGCTGAGACTGTGACTCAGGGCCAGCCGTGAATGCAAGGAAGTGACGTGGCAGTTACAGCGAAGATCGATTAGGACAAGGGTTGGGTTGGATTATGACTAATTTATAAGAAATATATTGCTATTTATTTATTTAATTTTAATTTTAATTTTAATTTAATTAACTCTTGCTTTTACACCTCTGTTCATTATATTACAAAACCTACTAAATTGTTGTGTCTTCTTCTTTGAGTTCGTTGAACTAGACCTTGTTTGTGTCTTCTTGTCCCTTCTTGTAACTAACCAACCACTAAACTAAACATTAATATTCAGACCCATATTGTATACTTAGATCAGATAAGTCAGATTTTTTTTTTTCCAAAAATCATTGATAAATATTTTAGATAGATAACTCCACAGATTTGGTATAATTTCAATCATCATGTATGCAAATAATACTATGAACAATAATACTTAAGTAGACCCAATTTTTTTTATTTTTTATTTTTTTGTGATCATTGGGGCTATTTGGTCAAACTTGTTTGCATTTCAGCTAATTTTCAAGTCTTGAAACTACCAATTAGGTAAGAACTCTAGTTGTCACCTCTATTAGTGTTTAGGGAGACTCGAACTCAAGAGTTCATAAAATCTTTTTTTATTCTTTTATCATCATACCACCCAATTGTGATCAAGTGGACCCAATTGTTATTTCACTAAGACAGATTTCGACATTAATTTTTATTAAACACAAAGCGCATTTTCCAGAACTACTTGGCGGTGTTTGTGGAATGAAGACAAACCTCAATGAAGATATCATAGAGAGAGAGAGAGAGAGAGAATGCCCATGTTATTTAAATGAATTTTCCTTGTGGATTGTTGATGCATGATTTTGACACTAATGACTCGCGTGTGCAAAGTTCTAAGGCGTTTTTAGAAATTATACGTGAATGATTATAATCAAATACAAAGACTGAATAATAAATAAGAGATGATTTTTAAAGTAGTTCGGATGCTTAAAGCAAATCATACGTTCACTGTTTCTTTTATATATGAGAGATTACAAGAGGTCGCGTATAGCAAACATCGAACAAATATACAGTAACTGAGTATTAAGAGATAATATCAAATCAGTCTCTCTTCTGTAGGTTATCTTTACTCTGAAAATAAATATTACAATCAGAATAAGAGTGTAATCTCAGAATCCCGAAAATGAGAGAGGGAGTCCTCTATTTATAGTAGAGGAATTCAAGATAATGATTACAAATCTGCAAATGGATAGGTGTCGTGCAAGTCATTCTGATAACTTGAGAAATATTCTCAAATTATCTGGAGCTTAGACAAGTGTGTGGTCCTTAGTCACTCATAGATAAAACTTGAATCTGCTAAGTTGGTGACAGCCATATTTTTTCTGTCATGGAGCAACATAGCAACTCTTGGACAGCACAAAGCCTTCATGAACTTTGATTAGTGTATGGTGTATGCTGACATAGGCTAACGTTAGTCCTGTTTTTTAAGCATAACACCGATGATGCCCGTTGCTTCCCCAACACAATTTGGGCAAAGGATTCGGAATCTTTTGGTGCAGTCAAATTGTGGGTTGATTCCGGATAATGCCAGTCTCTGCCAAACTTGTTAATCAATAACGGTGGCTACGGCAAGTTATAGTTCAACTGAGAAGAAAAGACTANAAAGGATAAAAATTTGTACATTTGATCAGTGATATTTATAAGAGAAGTGTAGCAATATCTGTCAAACTATAGAGGTTGTTCTTAAAATTAAGAAAAATTTCATGGACAGTCAGTGATTTTTTTTTTTTTTTTTTTTTTATCTACACGAAAATTCTCAAGTGAAGATGTTCTGATCTAATTATTTATCTTTTTCCAAATCGGACTAATATTCTTCATGTCCGGAATTCCTTAGAAGAGAAAATTTCAATCAAATATCTTCTATCAAGAATTCAAAAACTTTTACCTTTTATTAGATTTCTCATCTCAAGAATGCTCGACCGAATTTTTTACTAAAAAGAAGAGTTCTCTTTTTTTTTTTGGCAGATGGAAAGGACACCGAATACATTCAAAACCTGCATCTATACAGGGCTGCGGATACAGGCGATTTGGAAGCTACAAAGAGTTTCCTTGATCTTAACCCTTCTGCACTAACCGCCAGCCTTTCCGCGGACGGCGACACAGCTCTTCACATTGCCGTTCTAGCCGGGCGAGTAAAGGTTGTTGAAGAACTAGTGAAAAGGATCAATGCAGAAGACTTGGGAATCAAGAACAAGAGTGGTGCCACAGCCCTTAATTTTGCAGCAACCGGTGGAATCACAAAGATTGCTGATTATTTGGTAAAAAAGAACCCGGGATTGCTTCGCATTCCGAACCAGCATGGCTACATCCCCGTCGTCGTGGCGTCTCTCTATGGCCATCGAGATATGGTTCGATATCTTTACTATGAGACTCCAATGGAGGAGCTGAACCCTGATAACAGCAAGAATGGAGTTATGCTTCTTACAACTTCTGTTGTTGATGACCTCTATGGTAAAAGAATTTCTCCCATAAAATATATATATATAATTATCTTTTAGTACATTACCTTCATCATCATTTAAAAAAAAAAAAAATTAAAAATATAAAAATAAAAAAAAAAAAAAAAACCCAAGAAAGAATAACTAAAAAATAAGACATCCAAAAAACCTGTAGATGTCGCGTTACTTTGGTCATTATTCTTAGGTGTGAATGCTCTGAAATTTTTAATGTGGGAACAAATACCTAACAACTAGTTGTTGGGTTTAATTTTGCATTTTGTGAAGCTAACTACTTGTTATTAACCTTTAATCCCCATGCTAAAAACTTTAGGACGTCTGCATTAGAGATTTACCATATATATATATGTTCTACTAGTAAAATTTAATTTGTTTGAAGTTAATTGATATATATATATATATATATATATATGTTCTACTAGTAAAATTTAATTTGTTTGAAGTTAATTGATTTTCTACACATTATTTAGATATTGCTCTGGATATTTTACATCGCTATCCGCGATTGGTTTTTGAACAAGACAACGACGGCGACACGGCCCTTGATATGTTGGCTCAAAAACCTTCTGCATTTCCTAGTGGAACTCAACTTGCACTTTGGCAAAAATGGATTTATTCATGTAGGTGACTTATGCAGTTTGGATTATTCTTTAAACTTTTCTTGTTCAATTCAACATATGTAAATTGGTAACGTTCTTTCACCATTTATTTTGTATTTTGTTAAGCTCGAAAACTTTATCGAACTATTAGCTACTACTTTAGAAAAAGCGTAGACTTTTGCACCTAAATTGACTATACATATTTCTTTCCTTAATTAAGGTATTTATATTCCTTCTCCTCATGCATCAAGCAACAATCACGAAGACATTGAAAGACCCCGTTATGAAGGCCCAGCTGAGCACAAGAATGTGATCGCAAGAGGTGCTTTATTATGAGAGACTATAAATTAGAAATTAAAAATTAAATCTGATTATTCTTTATTCTTTTAACTACAAATTAGCGGTAAATTGATTGTGTTCAAAACATTATAACCTCTAATTTCTCTTCATGTGTACATATATGCAGCAAAGTATCCCGTTCTAGACATGGTGGGGAAAAGCTTAAAACTATTTGGTAAGCACAAATAATAGTTAATTATTAGTTTGTGGTACGGTTGAGGTGATATTTCTTTGATATTTTCGGTTTTTTCGTAGTATTTTCTGACTCTTGATCTGCTTCGTTTGCTCCACAGTTCCAGCTATCATGTCCATGTATGAGTTAAAGTTGACACATGTTCAAGCTCAAGAACTCCTAAGCTGTATTTGTAAAGAAATATCATCACAGGGCGAGTCACAATTTGAGAAAGTTGGAGTAAAGAAAGTGATATTCAAAGCTATTAAGCATGGGATTGTTGAGATCATCACAGAGATCATGAAACATTACCCTGATATTATATGGTGCTATGATGATTATAATCGCCATATATTTTTATATGCAACTTTGCAACGCCAAGAAAAAATTTTCAGCCTTATTTACACGATTGGTGCGAAGAAGAGCTCAGTGGCAACCTCTTGGGACAAAAGTCACAACAACATTTTACATCAAGCTGCATATTTAGCTCCACCTTCTCAGCTTGATCGTGTCGCAGGTGCAGCTCTGCAAATGCAAAGAGAACTACAATGGTTCAAGGTAATAACTTTAAATTTTAGTTATATACGTATATATTAGTTACTTTAAGACGAAAATTCTGACGCAGACAACATTCTCTATCTTTTTATTTTATTTTATTTTAGAAATCCGAAATCTTGTTCTTTAGGTCATAATAAATGTTATTTTAAAAGATAAATATTAATTTACAATTGTTGATAAGTGAAAATTTGACTATAATTTTGTCTTTTACTATTAATTAGTACTAATAAATTAATAAATTATGATATTGTCAATATACAAGATTCACATTTTAAATAAATGTTAGACATCCTCATAGAGAAGAGAAAACAATCAAAGTTTTATAAAACACATGTTTACAAAGACTTATGACCTCGATGATAGGTTCTAAAACATACTTCCTTAACCCTAAATCCTAACACGATAAATGTGCTTAACGATAATTTATTTTTATCTATTTTCTTGGGCAGGAGGT